TTGAGTTTGGGTTTAGTTATAATATTTAAGAAGATATTAAATTATTTAATTTTATATTTTTAAACATTTTATAAATGTAATACTTTTTGTATACTATAACATTTAAATTAGCCCTTTAACATTTATGATTTTTACCAACGACCTAAATAATTCAATAATTATCTCATTTCTTTGAAAGTAAAAAATCCTAAATTTGAGTCGCATAGCATGCGGGTGGGGTGGGATAATAGATGGGAGATGATTGTCTACCATTATGCAACTAAGATTAAAAAAAAAAACATTTATGATTTTCTTATATTAATAAAATTTTATTTCTCAAAAAAAATATATGCAATAATAATAAAAGTGGGAGCGTGGACGTTTACAATTAATCAATTTGCATTTTTTTAATATTATAATTTAATTGACTAAAAAGTCATCCATTTTCGTTTTCTTCCCTTTGTTTCGGTTAAAACCAACTTTTAACCATTTACATTACAAAATTGATAGGTTTTAGCCTCTAACCTTATAATATGACATTGTTAACTCTTTACCTTATAAAGTTTGTAGGTTTTAACCCCCTCACCTTACAAAGTTGGTAAGTTTTAGTCTCTCACCTTATACTATGACACTTTTAATCCTTTATATGTACGAATTGAAGAAAATAACACTTATTTAATATCATGTTATAATGTTCTATTAGTTCTGTTAGCTGATTGTTAATTCTGTTAACTGACTATCAGTCTTGTTAGCTGACTATCAATCTTGTTAGCTGACTATCAATCTTGTTAGCTGACTGTTAGTTCTGTTAATTAACTGTTAGCATTCCGTTAATGGAACTAATAAATAAAATTGAATTTAAATTTCATGTTTTTTATAACGGAATGCTAACGGATATTAACAGTCAACTAACAGAACGTTGTAACCTAATGTTAGGTGAGGGTTATTTTCTCTAATCCATATCGGTGAGGGGTTAAAAATATCATAATATAAGGTCAATGATTAAAACCTACCAATTTTGTAATGTGAAGAGTTAAAACTTACCAATTTTGTAAGATCAAAGTTAAACTGTCATGTTATAAGGTGAGGGACTAAAACCTATCAATTTTATAAGGTGAGGGGCTAAATGTTGGTTTTTGCCCTTTGTTTCTTACAAATAAAACATATTCTTGTAGTGTTTGAGGAAACAGAGGTGATTTTATTTATTTGGTTATAATAATTGACACGTATTGAGTACATTTTTGTTATTTGATTAGGACTTGCTAGTCGCCGCGCAATCTCTAGTTCCCTCACGGTCGCCGTCTCCATTGAGCCTCAACCATGGCCGACGATAGGGCCATAAGCCTCGAGGAGATCAAGACACAATCAGTAGATTTGGTATTCCCTCTCTGTTGCTGTAGCTCCTTAATATTATTTGTTTTTCTTGATTTGCATGCACATGTAACAAGGTATGGAAGTGTGCATGTGTCTAGTTGCTGAGAAAACGGAGTTAAAAGGAAAAGTTATTGAGCAATTCGTATGTCTTAAAAGCCTTTTAAGAAATTTCTTATAAAAAAAAAAAGTAGTAGAAAATTTGACAATAAGCTGGCGGATGATTATGTGACCGGAAAGACACCGGCAGAGTGGAAGTGTGAATAATCAGAACCGAACCATGTGGAACAAGTGAGTTGGCAAGGCTACGGCCCCTTGGCATCTTTGAGTAACGTAGTTGACAAGGGAATCATTATCAAATTGGCTTATGAAATAGTATTCTAGAGATGAAATTGGCTTCTTGAATGAAGCTTGGCTGAATATTTATTCGACTATAATTGTTTTCAGGAACGGATACCTGTAGAGGAAGTGTTGGAGCAGCTGAAATGTACCAGGGCTGGACTGACTTCCGAGGAAGGAGCCCGTCGACTCCAAGTTTTTGGACTAAACAAACTAGAAGAGAAAAAGGTTTGATTCATTACCTTTACTGTATGTGGCTTCCTTTATTTTGCATTCTTCCATATGACAATATGATGTTTTGCAAGCAGGAGAGCAAGATTCTCAAGTTTTTGGGTTTTATGTGGAACCCTTTGTCATGGGTCATGGAAGCTGCTGCTATCATGGCTATTGTCATGGCAAATGGGGGTGGCAGACCTCCAAACTGGCAGGAATTTGTTGGTATCGTTGTGCTGTTGCTGATCAACTCTACCATTAGTTTTATTGAAGAAAATAAAGCTGGAAATGCTGCAGCAGCCCTCATGGCTGATCTTGCTCCCAAAACTAAGGTGAAAACAAAGGCTCTTCTCAGTTTACGTTCATCTTGTTATTGCTCCTTTAAATTTGGTTTCGGTTTTTAATTTTCTTCTTCTGAGACAAACTGTAGGTTCTAAGAGATGGTCAATGGAATGAACAAGATGCTGCAATTCTCGTTCCAGGGGACATAATCACCATTAAATTGGGAGACATAATTCCTGCAGATGCTCGTCTTCTTGAGGGTGATCCTTTAAAGATTGATCAATCTGCTCTCACTGGAGAATCTCTTCCTGTCACTAAAAGCCCCTCAGATGAAGTGTTTTCTGGTTCCATATGCAAACAGGGTGAAATAGAAGCAGTTGTTATTGCAACTGGTGTGCACTCGTTTTTGGGTAAAGCTGAGCATTTGGTAGACGGCACCAATCAAGTTGGGCATTTTCAGAAGGTTCTCACAGCCATTGGCAATTTCTGCATTTGTTCGATTTTTATTGGACTATTCATTGAGGCAGTTGTCATGTACGGGATCCAGCACCGCAACTATAGGGATGGAATTGACAATTTACTAGTTCTCTTGATTGGAGGAACCCCGATTGCCATGCCAACAGTGTTATCTGCCCCCATGGCCATTGGTTCTCAGAGGCTCTCTCAGCAGGGTGCTATTACCAAGAGAAGGACAGCCATTGAGGAAATGGCACGCATGGATGTTCTCTGCAGTGACAAGACAGGGACTCTGACCCTGAACAAATTGACTGTTGAAAGAAACCTGATTGAAGTGTTTGTAGAGGGGATAGAGATGGACCGAGTTATCCTTCAAGCAGCTAGAGCTTCAAGAACTGAAAATCAGGATGCCATTGATGCGGCTATTGTTGGAATGCTTGCAGATCCCAAAGAGGTATATTTTGTTCCTCTTTGTCCTCTCTTGTTAGGTAGTGGATTAGAGGATTTCAACATCATTTTAATTATGAATTGACCAGGCACGAGCTGGTATTAAGGAGGTTCATTTCCTTCCTTTCAACCCTGTAGACAAAAGAACTGCTCTTACTTACATTGATTCTAATGGAAACTGGCATCGGGCTAGCAAAGGTGCCCCCGAGCAGGTATCCGTGATTTTCCTTATGCTGGTATATGCAGTTAGAAAATTGCAAGGAAGTAACACCTATCCGTTTGTTTTCATTGTCCTGTAACAGATATTGGACCTTTGCAACTCCAAGGGAGATGTTCGGAAAAAGGTTCACGCAGTAATTGACAAGTTTGCTGAATGTGGACTTCAATCATTAGCAGTGGCAA